TCGGTATAGCCCACGATGTCACAAGTAACCAACAAGTGAATGTCACAAATATCCAAATGATTAGAAGAAAAAAATCCAAATGGCCTTTGGTAGAATATAGGCTCCCCACCCCTAATCATTGAAGAATCCCAGGTCTTTCACAACCCCTTATTCCTAACTTGTGATATATCAGGTCATTTATCTTGGTCAGTTAACTTTTTCTTTTTTCATTCAAGAACCAGGATTTGAGCAAGGGACGTATAGCTCAAATGGAAGAGCAACTGCCTAGCAAGCAAGAGGCCTTGACTTCAAATCCCAGAATGACCGTTATAAATATGCTTTTCAAGAACAATTGGAGTTACAACAATTGACATAAAAATAAAGAATTGCCCCAGCAAGGGAAAATTTACTTCTTCCCGGAAGGGTGTGCCATCAGCCAAAAATCTGGCAAACAAGCACACTGAGCAAATCAGGCTGCTCCTCTATTCCTAACACAGCAGGCCCTGCCCCTTTGCTCGATTGGTTGAGCTCAGGGTCACAATCTGCTTGTGATTGGCTAGTTTCAATAAGGTAAAATGTATTTACATAAGGTGATTTTGAAATAAGAATAACCATCTGAGGCATGTCTGTCATAATTCCATCTTGAAAAGAAATCAGTGTATGACCAAAACTTGCATTTCAAAAATCCTTTCTTACCCAAAAGCAGTTTCTCTTTTCCTTCACAAGAGCCAAGCCATCAGTCCAAAGCAGGAACTTTTAAGTAATACACTTTGATGGAAAAGACATCACACTATGAAAAAGAAAAATGGAGAGTAGAGGGGGGAAGGGAAGAAAAGACTTTTTTTCCCTTTAGTGTTTTAAAGTTTAAACTTTGCCAGTCTTGATATACTCTCTTGTATCTTTTAGAGGTGACAGGTAAAGTCATTTCCAGTAGGTGTCCTGTACTGGGCTTGGGACTAGCCACATGGTTCTGGTTCTGTTCCACAATTCCAGGTATATTTTGGGCCCATTTTAATATGGAGTCCCCTGAGATCACCCCATCTCTCCAGCAATCCCAAATACTTGGCTTATGATATCATGTTGCTATCTCATTCTACACTTGATATCTTCTGTTTTGTTTTGTTTTGTTTTGGTCAGTTGTGGGGCTTGAACTCTGGGACTGGGTGCTGTCCCTAGGCTCTTCAGCTCAATACTTGAGCCACCGCGCCACTCCTGGTTTTCTGGTGGTTTATTGGAGAGAAGGTTTTCCTGCCCTGGCTGGCTTTGAACCACGACCCTCAAATCTCAGCCTCCTGAGTAGCCGGCGCCTGGCTTTCTTTCTCCTTTTTTAAAGAGTTAGTTGTTCAAATGTCCTGATGAGTTTATGGTACCTTTTCATAGTTTCGAATATGTTTGCGGCTTATTTTACCTCAAGGTTCGGAGAGGTCTACTGTGTGGCTGTCATCTGCATTGTTCTGGGATCCTGGGGAAAAGTCAGTCACAGGGTCACTTGGACGACACTGAATGTCTCCATCTGAAGTAATTAGTTGCCTCAGTAGAGATGAGAAATCTGTAGAACATTTAGGATTTGTGTGTGTGTGTGTATGTGTGCATGTGTGCACATGCACATGCTGGGGCTTGAACTCAGTGCCTAAGTGTTGTCTCTGAGCTTTTTTTGCTCAAGACTAATGACCTACCACTTGAGCCATAACTCCACTATAAGCTTTCCTTTTTTTTTTATTGTGAAAATACTGTACAGAGGGGTTACAATTACATGGGCAAGATAATGAGTACATTTCTTATCAAGCATTGTAGCCTCCTCCTTTGTTTCCCCTTCCCATAAGCTTTCCTTTTTGAACTTGAAAAATCAGATTTATTTGGAGAAAACAAAAAACACAGGATGGGAGTTTTATATTTCAAGACATCTCCCAGGTAGTAATTCTACAGATTACAAATCATTTGCATAGAAGATATATTTGTGAATATATCAACCCGTTTTATTTCTCTACCAGCTTTTTTGATACTTCACTGGAGATGAGTGTCACAGCAGGCTGGGCGCTGGTGGCTCACACCGGTAATCCTAGCTACTCAGGAGGCTGAGATCTGAGGATCGCGGTTCAAAGCCAGCCGGGGCAGGAAAGTCTGTGAAACTATCTCCAATAAACCACTAGAAAACTGGAGGTGGCGCTGTGGCTCAAGCAGTAAAGCGCTCTCGAGCTGAAAAGCTGAGGGATAGCGCCCAAGCCCAGAGTTCAAGCCCCATGACTGGAAAAAAAAAAAAAAAAAGTGTCACAGACTTTCCTGCCAAGGCTGGCTTTGAACCATGATCTTCAGATCTCAGCCCCCTAAGTAGCTAGGATTATAGGCTTGAGCCATTGGCCCCTGGCCATAGAATTTTTGATACAATGATACAACTGTCTAATAATACAAATGAGCAGGAAAGTTGTGCTTGAACTTGACATTAAGGCTTTGTGAAATGTAACTAGATTTGTTCTTTGCATTGAAAGCACCCTGGTTATAAAAACAAAACAAGCTCAGAACTGAATGTAATCCTAGCTATCCAGGAAACTAAAATCTGAGGATCACACTTACAAGCCAGCCTGGGAAGGAAAATCTTTGAGACTCTCATCTCCAATTAGCCACCAAAAGGCTAAAAGTAGAGCTATGGCTAATGTAGTAGAGTATCAGCCTTCAGCAACAGAGCTAAGCGGAGTATCAGCCTTCAGCAACAGAGCTAAGCGCCGTGAGTTCAAGCCCTAATACAGTCACAAAAACAGACATAATTCCTTTCTCCGGTTCTCTTGCTCTAGAAACTTCTAGAGTCTCTCATATAAGGCTACTGGTACAGTTGATTAGTGAGTGCTTTTACTTCAAAGCCTCCTCTTCAAGATCTTCATTCATATATAAACTCACTACCACATGCAATAAGTTCCTAGAGAAAGAGCCCAGGGATGCGCCTGATCCTAATGTCCCAGTGCTGTGGTCAGCAGGCCCCAACTGTAACAGCAGGAGAGCACACAAGCAGCCAGCCGAGGCTGCTGGCAGCAAGGGCCTCCGTCAGCTTCAAACTTCCTGGTTTCAAGTTTGGCAACTGACAGCTGTGTTGGGCCAGTGGAGATTCAAAACTGTGGTCAAGATCATGAAGTCGTAGAATACTGGAATACTTAATAAGTATTATGTGTCCAGCACACCACAGATGGATATGGTTTAGGAGAGCTGTGAGTTACCCCAAAGTCAAACCAGCAGCAGTGGCCAGGGCGCCTAGCATAATCTTCATTTTAATCTTTACACATTAAGCGCACAAAGCTTTAGTGGCAAACACATTGCCGGGGGCAGGGGCAGGGGGTAATTTAAGTTAATGACTTTTTTTTTTTTTCCAGTCATAGGGCTTGAACTCAGGGCATCACTTTCTTGCCTAGCTTTTCTTGCTCAAGACTAGTATTCTACCACTTGAATCACAGCTCCACTTCCAGGTCTTTAGTGGTTAATTGGAGATAAGAGTCTCATGGATTTTCCTGCCCAGGCTGGCTTTGAATCACAACTCAGCCTCTTGTATAGCTAGGATTACAGATGTGGGCTGCTGGCACCCAGCCCAGTGTGATTTTTTTTTTAATAGACAAAAGTGTATTCAAGCAATGTTGGACAGTTCTCCCTAAGCCCCCTTTTTTCCTAATGGCTGGATGGCTGCTTTCTCAAGCCTGCTTGCTCTAGGATCTGAAACCTTGTTGCAAACCACCTGTTGCTATTCTGTTCTGAGCCCTACGACCTGCCATTGACATCATCGCTCTGTGTGGAGACCTCTGGACACTCCATGTGGAACCAGCTACATTGCTGCAGTCAGATACAGCCTTAGATGAGACAGGTCCCCCATGTGCCAATCCCAGATTCCTGTGGACTTTACTAATGTTTTGTCTCCCTAGAAGTAAATGAGGCAGAGTGAAAAGACATCACTTTATTCCAAAGCTGATCATTTGGGAGAAAGATGTTTACAGTAGCCCCTCCTTCAGCTCCCTCCACACTTTGAGGGACCAACAAAAATCAGGCTGTTCACAACCCCAGGCAGGAAGTCCTGATACTCTGACTAACCACCTAAAGAGCCAGAAGTGGAGCTGTGGCTCAAGAGGTAAAGTGCTAGCCTTGAGCAAAGAGAAAACCTCAGGGACAGCACATAGGCCCCAAGTTCAAGCCTCAGGACTAACACACACGAAAAAGAATAACATTGCTCATAAGATGGGTTTATGGCTTAGGGCTGGGAAGGTGGCTCAGTGGAAGAGTGCTTGCCTTACATGCATGAGGCCCTGGGTTCGATTCCTCAGCACCAAATACACCGAAAAAGCTGGAAGTGGCACTGTGGCTCAAGTGGTAGAGTGTTAACCTTGAGCTGAAGAGCTGAGGGACAGCACCCAGGCCCAGAGTTCAAGCCCCACGACTGATCAAAAGAAAAAATAAAAAGATACTGTCTTAGCTTTAATGCGAATGAGACAAGAACAAAACACATTAAAATTATTGATCTAGATTAAAGGCAAGGAATGACTGAAATTTAAAGAGATGACTAATTCCATTTTTCTCAAGCTCCAGCAGGCCTTTGCTCTGTGTGTGTGTGTGTGTGTGTGTGTGTGTGTGTGTGTGCGCGCGCGCGCGCGCGTGCCTGTACTTGCTCAAGGCTGGAGTTCTACCACTTGAGCCACTCCTCTACATATGGGTTTTTTTTGGCTGTTTAATTGGAGATAAGACTCCCTTGAATTTATCTGCCTGAACTGGCTTGAGGCCCAGAGTCTCATATCTCAGCCTCCTGAGTAGGTAGCTAGGACTACAGGTGTAAGCCACTGGTGCCTGCCTTTTCTCCATGTTTCACTGACAGAGACAAAATGAGTCTCTAGTGACCAGAGATCAGTACCCAGTTTTCACTTAACACATCACCTCTTTTTTTTACTTGGTGCTGGGAATGGAACTGGGGGCCTCACACATGCCAGGCGGTGAGTTTTACCCCCTGGCCCATCACCTCCATTTTAAACAATCCTTCTAAGAAAAGATCTTCTAAGCCTACAATTAGGAGGAAGAGGAAGCCAAAGAACAGTTCAAATACTCTACAGATGTTTCCAACCACAGGAGGAGCAAAATGCCAAAAATTTGTAGAATTAAAGTGTGGCAGAGGCTAAGTCATAGGGGAGAGGAAGGCATGTGGAGGCCAACTGAGTTCACTCATTTCGGAGGCCAAACCCAGCCCAGAGAACCATATTCCAGTCCTGATGGGGTGATGCCTCCAGCCAGGGGACGAGCTGGGACTGGGGGCTCTCCAAACCATCACTGAGCAGAGCCCCAGTCTAAAAGACAGCAGGCAAGCCCACATCATCTGATGAGAGTTGGGGCCAAAGTTCAGGTCTGGAACATCAGGAAGCCCCCAAAAGCAGTGCTGGGGGCGCTTTTCTTGGTTACTGAGCCATGGGTCAATTCAAACCACACCCTCTCACCCTTTTGCAACTCTGCCATAGAAAAGGTTGTAACAGTGCTCCCCCCGCTCAGCTCTGTGCTGTAGACTGGGGTTCGATGATGGCCCCCAAACACCAGTTGCCCCATGCCTGGGCCAGGGCCGAATTCAATGCTCACTGCAAAAAGGTAGACACCACGCTTTGGGGCTTGGAAGTGGCCATGTTCAGGGAAGTAGCTGCCACCAGTGTTGATGGCTGGGATGTTGAACTTCACCCTCTGGGGGGCAGTTATCCCTTCTGAAAAGCTGGCGTAGAAAGCCACAGGGGAGCCTGGAAAACAGAGGGGAAATGCTTGGTGAGTTCATTATCTATTCCCTGAATGAGGAATTAAATGCAGAGAGACCTGCCTTTATCATCCTATGAACATTGGAGTCAGAGCCCAGCACTGGTGGCTCATGCTTATAACCACCAAAAAGCCTATTTAGGAGGCTGAGAACTGAGAATTGAAGTTTGAAGTCAGCCTGGGCAGAAAAATGGGTGCGATCTCTAATTAACCAGCCCAAAGTCAGAAATGGAAGCTCAAGTGGTAGAGCACCAGTCTTGAGAAGGAAGAGTCAAGTGAGAGTGCCAGGCCCGAAGGCTTGAAGTGGCACAAAGGAAAAAAAATAGAAATAGGACATTATTTCTTGATAACCTACCTATTGCCAATACAGTGTGATCTCAAAGGGTAAATATAAACTTGTATCTCATGGAGATACATTTCCAAAGAGCATATTCTCAACCCTTTAGTTAGGACTTTCTCAAGACCTAAGTGTCCCTGGCTGTCGAATGGCTGTGTGACTAATAATGGCAGGCTGAGACAGGCTGGGAACCCAGATTTCCAACTTCCAGACATTTGCAACTTGCTAAGAATTTTCTTTTTCAGTGCCAAGGATCGAACCCAAGACCTCATGAATGCTCAGCTAGATCTTTATCACTGAGGACTCATGCCCAGACCATACCCAACTATCTTTAGACAGCTGGGGAAAGAGAATTTGTCTATCTTCCAGGTAACAATGTTAACCCTGGGAAATAACTGAGGAATGGAGAAGATGGTTCCTATTAGAGGTGAGCACTGGACCTTAGAGAAACAAGGAAAGAAAGGCCCCTCCAAGCTAGATGCAGTGCTGCACCCCTTCTCAGCTCTCTACCAGAGCCAGGAGTATTGTGAGTTCAAGACCAGCCTGGATAACATAGTGAGCCCTGCATAGTGAGCACCAATCCAGCTAGGTCTGGAAGCTACATGAAGCTTCCAAATATTGCTCTGAACTCTGGGATTACATCTGGGGAAACTGAGTCCCAGAAAGGCATAGCTTATTGCTCCAGACCACACAGCCAACCAATTACTAAACAGGGAGCAGACCTTGGATCTCCTGATTTTTGGGTGCTCTTCTGGCCCTCAGTTGCAGAAATGCTACCTCGGGCCTTAGGACAATCTCCCACAGGACAAGAGAGGAGGTGTCATGTATACAGACAGGAGAGGCTGCAGGGGCAAACAGGTCACAGCATAGGATCAGTAGGATGGTCCTCCTGAGTTCAGGACCTGACACTGACTTTGTCACCATCAAGGTAAAGTTCTTGTGAGTTCTGTCAAAATGCCGTTTTAGTGGAGGGAGGGGTCTTGAGGCTAGGGGGCAAGTTTCTTGGGAATAGAATTAGGCCCTCAAGGAGAAGATTTCACAACGGTCAGTCACTTTAGGTCCCAGAGTGAGAGCCAGGATCATTGATCTCCGGTCCATAAATAGCCTTGTGAATGCCAAAGTTTTGTTTTTCTCTGATTCTAGTAGGTTTTACGAGAATGAGATTGTTGGATTAAGGCAAAAAGCTGGGTGTTGGTGATGCAGTTCTCACAATTCCCAGCAGATGGCGCTCTAGCCCTGCTAAAGAAAGTCTGTCCAATAGCGCCCTCTGTGGGTACTTAGTCCTCTCCACCCTGCCTGCACCTGACCTTAAAGAGAGACCACACCCAGCCAGTGTGCCAAACCTGTGCTTTAGAAAGGAAAGCAAGGTGCAAACTGAAGATTGCACTCTTTGCAGTGCACAAATTCAAGCTCTACAATCTTCCACAAGACAAATAAGAGGAATATTTTAAAGGACAAATACTTCTGAATAATAAAATGTTGCAGTGGTAAACAGATGCCTAATTCTGAAAGTCATCAGGAAAATTCTGAAAGTCATCAGCAAATGGAGATCTTATGTGAGTCACAACATGGGAAAAAAGACAGCTGGGTGTTGGGAGAACCTGTTCCTTGGTGCCTCACACTGCCCCCTAGGTCATCATGAAGTATCATCAAGGCCAGGGTGGGGCCTTTCAGCAAGACTCCGAAAAACCCACATGCCAGTTTGCACCAGCAAACCCACCTTGTCCACAGCTCTGTGTCTGGAGACAAAGCAGTCCCAGCCCCAAGGTCACCTTTCCAGGGAGAAAATTGCTTGAGACCCAGAGCAGCATGAAGGGAAGAGATGGAAAGGTTGACTCCACATAACTTCAACCTCAAAGCCAGCTCCTAAGCCTGGGACATGGGACCCCGTAGAGACCAGCCATGGATGCACTTGTTAAAGAGGAGAGCCAACATTCTAGAGACAGCCCCTCTCTGCTGCTCACTGGCTGGGTGAACAGGTTCTTCCCTGGGTAAGATGGTAATGATGATGAATATGCGGATAAGCAGCTGTGATGACTCATCATGACAAAGCCCATGAATGGTACTGAAGGTAGGATGGCCAGACAGGACAACGGTAGGGTGTTACCATGATAGGTTTCCCCAGCCCTTGGAGCACAGGGCCTGGGGATGGGGAGAAAAAATGACAGGGAGGAGTTAAAGGGTGCACTTTCCTTCTCTGCTCTGTAGCTAGGGCAGCAGGCAGCCAGCAATGTGTATAGAAGCCTGTGAAAGTAACAGGAAGTACTTCTGCCAGCTTATGGGCTGTGGCACTACCATTCACTTTGCTTATTTATTTGCCAGTCTTGGACTTGAACTCAGGGTCTCATGCTCTCACAAGCTCACTTGGCTTTTTTCAATCACGTTTTTTCTCTATTCTCTCTCTCTCTCTCTCTCTCTCTCTCTCTCTCTCTCTTTCTTTTTGTAGTTGTTGTTGTTGTTGGTGGTGGTGGTGGTGGTGGTGGTAGTAGTAGTTGCAGGGCTTGAACTCAGGGTCTGGGCATTGTTCCTGAGATTTTGTGTTCAAAACTATAGCTCTGCCACATGAGCCATACCTCCACTTATGTATTTTTGCTGGTTAGTTGGACCTACAAGTCCTTCTCAGGCTGGCTTTGAACTGTGATCCTCAGATCTCAGCCTCCTGAGTAGCTAGGATTACAGGTATGAGCCACCAGCACCTAGCTTTGCTTGGCTTTTTTGTTCAAAGCTGGTTCATCACTTGAGCCATAGCTTCACTTCTGATTTTTTGCTGGTTAATTGGAGGTAAGAGTCTCATGGACTTGGCTGTGTAGGTGGACTTCAAAACATGATTCCTCAGATATTAGCCTCCTGAGTAGCTAAGATTATAGGCATGAACTACCAGTGCTCAACCCTCCAACAATCTTGACTTCTGCCTCCCTAAAATCCAGGTATACCCCTGAAAAGGGGAGTCAAGGGGAAATGGACCTTGAGTAGCGATGACCCAGGACCATACTACCAAGCTGGGGACTGTATTATCCTCCCACACCCGCTCAGTCCTCCTGGCCCAGCCACTTACCTGCCTCCCAGAGCTCTGCATTCAGGGCACCTTGCTCTAACCGTTTGGCATGGGCATCTGTCAAAGATTCCACTTGTTTTTTGTCCCTTTTCCTGGAAGCTTCCAGGCCTTTCTTCTGCTTCTTTCCTTTCCTGCTCATCATGGCCTGCAGTTTCCCCAGGTCTAGACTGACATTGGCTGCCACCAGTGCTTGGACATTCCCAAAGAGGCTGTGGAAGAAGTGCTGGTGCTGCTCCAGGCCTTGCTGGGTGGCAGAGAGTGCACTGCGAAGCGCCTCCAGGGAGCCATTGTTGGAGGAAGCCCAAGACTCGCAGCACTGCCCAAGGTGCTTGACGTCAAAGCGCAGGCGCTGGACCTCCTGCTCCAGCCCTTCCAGGACAGTGGCTCTGGCCTCCTCTGGCCCTGCATCATGGCTGGGCTCCAGATGCTCTGCCAGCCTTGGTAGCTCTACTCGACCATCCAGAGTCTGCTCCAGGGTAGTCACCCGGGCAGCCAGCTCATCCCAGCCAAGCGCTTGCTCCTGCAGCCCACTGGCAGCGTCCTGCAGGGCATTGCGGATCTCCTCATAACGTAGGGGCAGCAAACCAGGCGCCTCCTCAGACATCTTCTCCATTGTCTCCTCCCCAAAAAGCGCAGCCAGCACAGCCTCGTGCCGCAGCGCATCCTCCAGCAGGGCGGCAAAGGAGCTGTGCAGCTGTCGCATCTCCCGATGAGTGTCATTTGCAAATGCCTTCAGCTCTCCCACCGAACGCTCCAGTGCCTGCAGCTGGCTCCGGATCCTGGCTCTCTCTGCCCGGGCCCACTGGCCCTCTTCCTGGTGCAAATCCATTGCCAATGACAAGGTGTCCACGGTGCTCCTCAGGGCCTGCAGGGAGGAGCCGTCTAGTTGACGTCGCTCATCCAGGCTCACTTGAGTCTCCTCCAAAGCACGTGTGGCGTCCTTCTGCCCCTCCCGGATGGCATCCAGGTCATAGTAGAGCTTCTGGCAGTTACAGTCCTTGACGTACTTGATGAGGTCGGCATGGCCACCTTGCAGGTGCTGGAGGGTGAGGTTGAGCTCCAGGAGCTGCCGTTCCATCTCCTCCTTGTTCTCCTCCATGATAAGAGACTTCTCCATCAGGATCACCCGGAGTTCTCGCAGGCCGGTGTGATTCACCTGCAGCTCCTGCACCTGCCGCTCCACCTTGCTGATCTGATCAAACGTCTCATCAGATTCTGAGTACAGCTCCTTGATCTCATCCACATGCTGGGCTAGGGTGGCCCTCATGTCCTCAAGGGTGCCCTGCAACTCTTCTTCTCTATGGCTGGTGGCCACATGCAGGGCCGACAGATTCCTCTGTAGCTGACTCAGCCTGGCCTGCAGGCTGTCGGGCTCAGATCTTGGCGTTGCCATCACCAGGCTGACATTTGTCCCAGGGATCTCCTGAGCTTTGCTCAGCCGCTTTAACTTGGTGTCCACTTCAGCCTGGACCTCAGCCAGGGCATGGTGCAGGGACTGGCGCTGGGTGTGTAGACGCTCAGCCACATCCTGCTCAAGCTGGCCCATTCTGTAGCTGTTCTCCTCTACCTTCGTCTCAAACTTGGCTCCAAGCTCCTGGATGTCGGCCCTGGCCACCATGTCCTCCTGGACCCTCTTGATGGCCTGCCGATTGGCTTCCACGTCAAGGGACAGATTTCTTACAGCCTGGGAAAGGCTATGCAGGCTCTCGTTGAAGCTCCTCCAGATGGGGCTGAGGTGTGTTTCTAAGAAGTTGTCCATGTGCAGGGGCAACACGTGCTCCAAAGACCTGCCAGGAAACTCTGCAACAGACACCATGTTCACGCATGCCCATGGTCGCGGACACCCTTCCCGACTGAGGGAGCAAGGCCTCCGGGGTCTGGGGCCTCCTCCGGAATCCTCTACTCACCAAACTCCGTTTGATTGGTCTCTGTGGCAGCAGCAGTGAGGTTACTGGCCAGGGCATTCCACAGGCCTGGGAGGCCATCTGCAGCCTGGTGGATGTCATTCTGAAGGTCTCCCAGCAGGCGCTCTTGTTGTTTCTGCTGCTCCTCGACCCCACTGAGCTCCAAAGCAGGGTGACCTAAAGATACACAAGACATAGAGGTATTGAGGGACAGCTCGTCAGCCTAGGCAGGTCCTGGCATCCAGAGAAGATTTGGAAGCCAAAGACACGGGAGATGCATGCTGGCACCATCTGGGCTGGAGCTTCGATACCTTAGTTCCAGCAGGACACAGGCATGGCCTCTGTACCATCACCCTCCCTCCCACACCTTTGGCAGACATGACTAATCGATCACAGCACATTTCCTTCTGAAGCTACATCTTCACAGTTGGCAACCTTTGTTAATCGGAATTTTATCTTATGATAAAAACTCATTTCCCACTGGGCATGGTGTCTCACACCTATGATCCTAGCTACTCAGGAGGGTGAGATCTGAGGATCATAATTCAAAGGCAGACCCTGAGTTCAAGTCCACAACCAACAACAACAACAACTCACTTCCCATCCCAGCTGTGGGCTCAATTATTGTCTCTCGGTGATTCTCCTGTGATGATTCTAAGAACAAGAATGTCATAACTTTCTAGCCCTAGTAGATGAAAGACTTCTTGTAGGCCTGGGAGCTTTGTGTGGGTTCAGGCTCAAATTAGTCCTTGTCAGAAAATGGGGTCAAGGAAAAGGGCTGTGTGCTCAACCCCAGACAGACAGCTGAGGAAACCTGGCCCTTGGAGGGATGGTAGGGCCACTAAAAGAGTCCCTGGCTGTTTCAAGGGGCAAGATTTTCCTAAAATGGCATTGCCAATCATAGGAGAAAGGACAAGGGACCTGGGGCCTACCCCTCCCACACCTTTCCAGGGAAGCAACGCACCAAGTTCAAAGTCAACCAGCTGGTCCCACGGCTCATAGAGGACATCACTTGGCTCTGCAGGCACAGGAGTCATTGTGGGATCTGCAGAAGAAAACATTAGATGTTGACCCCAGAGGGGAGATGAATGGTATGACCTCTGGGGTCAGAGGTCAAGAGGAGGGGCTTCCAGGATCCCTACCATGATGCTGGCAGTTGGGACCTTGGAAGCCAGGACAGCACCTCCAGGCCGTGGAGGTCAGTACCTTCTGCTTGACTTGGTACACAGGCTTGTGGGCCACTCGGTACCTGGGGGGAGGAGAGGGATTTAGTGACTCCAGGGTGAGCCCACAGAGCCTGAGCAAATAGTCTGCCCACCCCACTCACATGACTTTGGCCTTCTGGCAGCCCAGAGCCTGCTGGGGACAGGGCTGCTGGGAATGGATGACGAATTTCTCTGTTTTACAAACGGCTATGAAGGTGACCAGCCTGGACTTCTGGTATGCACACCAGTTCCTGGAAAACAAACCAGAAGACAGAGCTGCAGATTAGCAGCCAGCAGCTTCGCCCCAGCTCCCCTTCCTGGAGGCCCAAAGGGGTGGCTGGTGTAGGGTACCAGCCTCTGCCCCACCCACCCAGCACCAGGACTCTGGAATCCATTAGCCTGAGAAGGGATGTGTATTATTCATCCCTGGGCTGTCTCTCCACAAACCTGGCTATTGGGGAACCTGAACTACCTACTGCCTTCCTGAAGCCTTCCCCAGAGCTGGCTCAGAGAGGGAGAGGAGCCCTCTGACGTCACACAGCCAAATTACCCATACAGCCAGGCATCAGCAGCTCATGCCTGTAATCCTAGCTAATCAAGGGGCTGAGATCTGAGGATGAAAGTTCAAAGTCAGCCTGGGCAGGCAAGCCCATGAGACTCTTCTCTTCAATTAACCACTAAAACACTGAACATGGAGTTGTGGCTCCGTGGTAGAACATTAGCCTTGAACAAAATAGCTAAGGGTCAGCGCCCAGGTCCTGAGCCTAAGCCCCCCACTATGGAAAAAAAATCAAATAAATAAAATAAAAATACCCATAGAGCCAGAAGAGCCCTCATTGTTCCCTGGTGACAGGGAGGCAGCACCGGGCAGCTGGCAGGGAGAGTCCTGGGTTGAATGCTTTCTACTTTCTGACTGTGATCTTGATCAAGGCCCTTAGGGAGTTTCCACTTCCCCATTCAACAGGAGGGAGTAGTGGTGCTTTCTTCTAAGTACCCAGTATCTCAGATAAGTACTCTCAGCTGCTGTAGTAAGCCCCTCCTGGCTGTCCTGGAAGCTCCCCAACTCTCATATCTTCCTCTCCAGAAATCCCGGCACAGCCAGGGCTCCTGTTCCTTGGTGGTATCCCATCAGGACCATGATAGAAGTGAGCTTTCCAACCCAGTGCTGGGCGCTCCTACCTGTGATCCTAGCTCCTCAGGAGGCTGAGATCTGAAGATCACACTTCAAAACCAGCCCAGGCAGGAAAGTCTGCAAGACTGATCTCCAATTAACCAGCAAAAAGCCAGAAGTGGAGCGGTGGCTCAAGTAGTAAAGTGCTGGACTTGAGTTAAAAAGCTTAGGAACAGTGCCCAGGTCCTGAGTTCAAACCCCAGTACACACACACACACACACACACACACACACACACACACACACAGGGGCCAAAGCTCAGCACTGGCAGTGACTATGCAAAGGTACAGATCTTCCCTTCAGAGTCCCCAGCCAGGACAGTCTCAGCATGGAGTATTAGGGCCAGGACCTGCAGTGGGTCTCAGGAACACAGGCTGTGGTGTGTGTGTGTGTGTGTGTGTGTGTGTGTGTGTCTGCGCGCGCACGTGTGTGGTGTGCGCATGTGCATGCAAGTGCCAGTACTGGGGCTTAAACTCAGGACCTTGCACTCTGGCTGGGCTTTCTCTTTTGCTCAAGGCTGAAGCTCTACCACTTGAACCACATCTCTACTGGCTTTTTGCTGGTTAATTAGCATAGGAGTCTCATGGACTTTTCCTCATAACCTGGGTGGTGTTGCTTAGCTTCCTCCCAACAAGGCTGGTGTTCTACCACTTAAACACACCTCCACTTCTGGCTTTTTTGCTGGTTATTTGGCTTTTTTCTTTTTGCTTATGTGGTGCTGAGGAATCGAACCCAGGGCCTCCTGCATGCAAGGCAAGCGCTCTACCACTGAGCCACTTTCCCAGCTTTGCTGGTTATTTGGAAATTATCCAGTCACTTAGACTTTGCTGCATGAGCTGGCTTCAAATCTCAATCTTCAGATCCCAGCCTCCTGAGTAGCTAGGATTACGGGCGTAGTGCCTGGCTCATGGGCTGTGTCTTGAGAAGAGATCAGAAGGGGCAGCAGGAAGCAGGGCAGAGTTATGGTGTGGCAAGGAGCTGCAGCGGGAGGCGGGTAGGTGCGGAGGTATGGCACTGGCAATGAAGCTGGACCATTTGCTGAGGCCATGGGAAGTCCCAGAGAAGTTTCCAGCCAGAAAGTACTATGAAAGCCATCCTGGTTCCTGGGCACCCGCAGGAAAGGAGTGGGTAAGGGATCCCAGGTGTAGGTGTTGATCCAGGGCAGGCATTATGGGAGACATGATCGCATCTGAAATGTTAGAAGGCCATGGTCAGGGATGCTGGTGATTGAAAACTACTGATGACTGAGGTTTTTGTTGTGGAAGATGCTGCAGGGACTGAAGGTCATCAGGTGACCACATCACACTAATTAAGAGTCTATGACTCTCACTCTGTCCCCTGGACAGAGAGCCTGAAAAGCTTTGTAGGAAATTGAACCAACCCCAGAGGAAGAGACCCAAGATGCTGTCATTATTAAACTCCCCCCCCCCCTCACTGGTGAAGCAGCCCAGCCAGAGCATCCTGTAACCAGACAGTCATGTCCATACACCTCATGTCCATTCAGCTTCTCAATCTACTCATCAGAGAGCAGACGGCCAAGGGGCACCTCGGAGGAAAGTCTGTTACAGAAGAGAGAAGTGAAGCCAGGCACCTGTGGCTCACGCCTGTCATCCTAGCTACTCAGGAGGCTGAGATCTGAGGATTGCAGTTCAAAGCCAGATTAAGCAGGAGACTTATTTCCAATTAATCACCAAAAAGCTGGAAGTAGAGCTGTGGCTCAATTGGTGGAGGACTAGTCTTAAGCACAAAAGCTCAAGGACAGTGCCCAGGCCCTGAGTTCAAGCCCCAGGACTAGCAAAAAAAAACAACAACAAAGAGGGAAGTGAGCTGTGGGCGTAGCTTGGTGATGGAGCACATGTGAAGACCATGTGAGACCCTGAATTCAATCCCCAGGACTAAGAGAAACAAAGAAAAAGAAAACAGCAGAGGGAGGTCAAAATGGTCAAAGGGTAGAAAAACCAGTTTGGAGAGAACCAAGACTATAGAGAGAAGAGAACTTTCCAAAAATGTGAACTCAAGATTCCCCAGATTGATAAGAGAAGTTACTGGATTCACACACACACACACACACACACACACACACACACACACACACACACGAAGCTCTGAAGTGCTTGAAATTCCAGCTGATCCAGAGTGGAGAACAGGGAGAAAAACTTTTGAGGCCAGTCTGGGCAAAGGTTATTGAGACTTTCATCTTAACCAATAAGCGGTCCCAGCTACTCAGGAGACCACAGAAAGCAGGATCCTGGTTTGAGGCCTGCTCCAGGCCAAATAAATAACTAAATAAATAAAATAGGGGAGTCTATCTGAAAAATAAGTAAAAGTTAAAAAAAAAGCACTGGACACAGCTCAAATGGTAGAGTACAAGCTGGACTCTAAGTTCAAATCCTAGTACCACTAAAAGAGAAAGGAAGGAGGGGAAGAAGGAAGGAAGGAAGGAAGGAAGGAAGGAAGGAAGGAAGGAAGGAAGGAAGGAAGGAAGAAGGAGGGAGGAAGGTTGTTTGATTCACTCAGTGCTGAAACTCTGAAACTGATTTTCCAGGCCTGTAGCTTAGGGGCTGTGGGTAAGATGTCTACCTGCAAGAGATACCAGCTCTGGGCTCAATGAAAATCCCTAGAACATGAAATTGGCCCCAGGAAACAATCTCTATGAACCACTGGTAGTGGGGACATTCCCTAGGTACATTTGGCCATGTCCGATGGCATGTATGTCATCTTGTGGTGCTGTGGATGTGTCATGGCTATCCCCATAGGTGAAGAATGTTACTAGATTCCCCATGACACACAGGATTCCCCATGCAGGCATTACCCAGGCGGGGATCACCTGTGCAAAGAGCTATGTAAGCAAGCACCACACTTCACACTCCAGTGGCCTCTGCCAGTGGGCTTGGTGCTCCCAGCCGAGTGCATCCTGCCAGGACTGACCAAAACCCTTCACCTTGAAGCCCTAGAACCGGAAACAGTGCCGCCCCGCCTTCCTGCCCGGGAACTTTCTCCTCTGACATGCCCAAACCTTGACCTTTAGCAAGCTGTCCACGCTCCCCACCCTTTGCAGCTCCTTCTTTGGCACAGAGCAGGCAGCTGGCCCAGAAGCCCTGGGAACATTCCTGACCTTTGCTTTGGTTTCCTACAGTGCCTGGCAGCTCCTAGCTGGCCCCCAGCACTCTTGCCCCAGGCTCCACATGCTAAAGCATTCTATTGTCCTCACTACCCCCTCTATCTCCTGCTGCTCCCTCTTCTTTTTTTTCACCTAGGGGAGGGGTCTTCTGGGCACCCCCATCTTCTCAAAAGCCTACTGAGGGGACAGGTGCCAGCACTGAGTGAGGGTATGATACCCCAGGCAGGACCCGAGGGCCAAATGCAGTGGACTTGACCCAGACAAGAGGGGCGGCTGACCCCCTTCCTTCAACATGTCAGGAGACCTTGAACAAAGTACCCCCCTCTCCCCCCTCCCCGCCCCCACTCTTCTGGAAATGTGGAGAAGCTGTGTCCCTGGGGACACAGAGGAGGGAAGGGAAAGCTGATGGCTCTGTCAGCCAGTGCTTTCTGCATAATAGATCGGTAGCTACCGGTTGGCCAGAGTCCTTAAGTGCCTCTCAGCCTGTCAATAAATCTGCCTTGGGCAGCGCCTTAACGCCTCCTGGGGTGGGGGTGGGAGAGTCCACAGCAGCCTTGCTCTCTAAGGCCTGCATCCAGCCATTAGCATGACAACCCCAAGGCAAACACACCCATAGTTTTGGTCCCTGAGCCTGAGAGAACTTGGCAAAGAAACCCGAGGCCCACTTTGTGGCCAGCCCAGATCCGGGCTTCCCTGAATGTGGGGAGGCTCCTGTGGCTGGGAGCCTTGGCCTCAGCTCTTCTCTAATGACACTCTGGGCCCCACAGCCAGGACAAAAATAAGTTCAGGAGCAGAGCATGGCCCAAACATCATGGCCTGGGCTCCATCCTGTTTCTGTGTGACCTCTAGTGACACGCTGGACTCCTCTGACCGAGAGGCTCCCTGAAGCAAACATCCCAAACGCTCCTCCCATTAAAAGAACCCAGGCTGGGGACTGATGGCTCCTGCCTGTAATCCTAGCTACTCCGGAGGCTGAGATCTGAGGATCATAGTTTCAAGCCAGCCTGGGCAGTCAAATCTGACAGACTCTTATCTCTAACCAGCATAAAGCTGAAAGGAGAGCTATGGCTTACATGGGAGAGCATCAGCCTTGAGCAAAATAATAGCTAAGGGACAGTGCCTAGGCCCTGAGTTCTAGCCCTAGCACAAAAAACAAAGCCTGGTGCTGATGACTGGGAACAGTATCAACTATACGCCCTCCCCCCCACCCCCGCCCCCACTGAGCTGTCAATCATAACAACAAGGGAATGGGACACCTTCCCCAGACTCTGCTTCCTCTCCATCAGGTCCAAATATTCAGGCTTCCTAGATAGAGCTTTGAGGGGTCTCCAGGGGGGACAGGGGGCTCGGAAGCAGCTAATTATATCCCTTCTTTACCCTGATACCTGACAATCTGGAGACACAGGGCACCTAGCACCCTGTTTTGTTCAAGCTTATCCTTCCAAAGGCTCGTGTGCAGGAGGACTAGGACTTCCCTGTCTCTTGGATATAGGTTGAAGAGCAAATTCATGGAAGAAGCCTGGCTGGGGCCCCTGTTAGGTGTACTGGCCCATCCTGCCCCCTTCCCCCTGTGGCTGGAGCAGCATTTCTGCCTCACCAGCCCAAGGAGCAGGGGAAGTTATCAGCCCAGGAAACGGCAGTGTTTCCTTCCTTTCTCAGCAGCCCCTCCGGATGCTTTGACATTGTGGGCTTGGCCTATGGAGTTCTCCACAGTTTCTGGCGCTGTGGGAAAGAGACTTTCGTAGGCAGGGGTGGCAGCCTTTGAATATCTGGGGATTCCTGGGCCAAGGATACAAGTGGGCAGATCTTCTTGAGTGGAGATCACCCAGAGAAAGGCAGAGAAACCCTAGGTTCCTGGGGCAAAGAGAATGTCCAATTTATCTCTACAACCAAGTGAGGAGGGAGACACAGGAGCAAGGGTCCTTCCTCTTATCCTCTGTGGCCCCCTCAAACTCCAGATGTCTGGTGGCTCACGCCTGTAATCTTAGCCACTCAAAGACGGAGATCTGAGGATCACAGTTTGAAGCCAGCCCCAGTAGAAAAGTCCATGAGACTCTTATCTCCAGTTAGCCACCAAAACGTCAGAAGTGGAGCTGTGGCTCAAGTGGTAGGGCAATAACCTTGAATGGGGGGAAAAAAGCTAAGAAATGGCACCCAGACCCTGAGTTCAAGCCCCAGTACTAGCACACACACAGAAAGCAAAGGGGGGCTGGGAGAGAGAGAGGTGCCCAGGGCCTGGGCCACAGAGCCGATGGCTTTGGGGAGGGAAGTTAGGTCTTTGGTCCTGAAATCAGAGCTCATGGCTTGATTGCCTCCACTGAATTAACTGTGTGTCAGAACTGGGCACAGGGCAGGATGGATTTCTCCACTCCTACCCACTCCACCAGGTCCTTCTTTGTGAAGAGTGGGTATGTACTGTTCATTCTCCTCTCTTACTTTTCCCTGGTCAAACCTACTTTCAGAAAAATGCCCAAGCCAGGCAAAGGTAGCTCATACCTGTAATCCTAGCTACTCAAGAGGCTGAGATCTGAGAATTACAGTAAAGTTTGGGAGACTTATCTCCAATTAATCACCAGAAAGCTGGAAGTGGAGCTATGGGTCAAGTGGTAGAGTGCTAGCCTTGAGTGACAGCTAAAAGACAGCACTCAGGCCCTGAGTTCAAGCCCCAGTTCTGGCATAGGAAAAGGAGAAGTAGGAAGAGGAGGAGGAGAAAGAAGTGGAGAAGGAGGAGGAAGAAGAGGAGGCGAAGGCAGAGGAGGAGGAAGAGGAAGAGGAGGAGGAGGAAGAGGAGAAGGAGGAGGAGAAGCATACACAAGGGGCCTTCATGTGGAAGAACTGGAAGCTGAATGAAGCCTCACACAGACAGGTGCTCCTTGGAGCCCAGGATGGTCCCTGTCGGGGCCCCAGTGTGGAGACTGTGGGTGAGCATGAATCTCAGTTCTCTCCATATCTAAATGCTTCTTTCTGAGGGCTAGTTGTAAACTCACTCAGCCTCAGAGCCAGTCCCAGCTCTCCTCAGCGGTGTGACCTACATCAAGTTACTCAGCCTCTCTAAACCATTTTTTTTTTTTTTTGGTCCGAGACCAGGACTAGAACTTGATATTTGATGCTCACTGGCAAGCACTCTACCCAGCCGAGCCATCCTCCAACCCCTACACCTCCAAGTCCTCCATGAATGGGGTTGCTGAGGAGATTTACAGAGCAAACACTTGGCAAGATGCCAGGCTTGGAGGCCAGCTCACAGGCACCTGCTGCTCTGATGATGACGCATGGCTCCAGAGTGGCTGCAGATCCTGAGAGGAACCTGCACCCCAGAACCTATCGGCAGAGTGGGGGTCCCCGGCCCCGCTTGAATTCAGGAAAATGGTGTCCAAGTCCCTACAGAAAGACAATCTTGAGTGTTGGGACTGTGGCTTCATGGTAGAGTGCTTGCCTAGCATGCAAGAAGCCCTGGGTTCGATTCCTCAGTGCCACATAAATAGAAAAAGCCGGAAGTGGCGCTATGGCTCAAGTGGTAGCTAGCCTTGAGCAAAAGAAGCTCAGGGGCAGTGCTCAGGCCCTGAGTTCAAGCCCTAGGACTGGCAAAAAAAAAAAAAAAAAGACCACTTTGCCCATTTCCAGAGGGTCCCTAGAGCACTGCCCCACTGGACCCCCTGTCTTCTGAGGATCGGGGGTCCTCTCAGCCATCACAGCCAGGCTTCTGGGCACTCAGACCACAACCCCAGACTGAAGGGTAGCTGTCCCCCAAGACCTGGGCTGGGTCAGCCTCGCTGGGGCTCAGCTTTCAGACCTGGAGCCAGAGCCTCCCCAACTGGAAGCATCCAGAACTACAGTCTCTGAGCCCCCCATGCTGGGTGTCAGCTGGTAAACACAATTCCTCCCTGCCCGCCCCCCCCCCCCCACTCCCTCTCCCTGCCCAAGCTCTATCCCCTGCTATGGGTTATGTAAGGCTCTTTGTGTTACTCTCCGGTCAGGCCTGGAATGCCCAACTGACATCTGAGACCTTGCTCAGCCGCACAACTGGCCTAGCAGCTAGCCTGGCCCATTTCATGGATGGGTAACTGAGGCCCAGAGAGGCTGTGCTCCAGTTGGGCTGTACTGAGACTCAAATGCCCCATGATCTTGGCCAAACTCCAAGCCCTCCTTACCGTCCAAGGGGGACCCTGCTGGGGTCCTCAGCTTCTGCCCCTGAGACTCCAGAGGATCTGGGGTCATGTGGATCAGAGAATCTGGTTCCAGGGGCCTGGGCCCAGGCTCCTGTCAGTCCCCAGCTCAGGGCTCCCCCGAGGCCCAGCAGCAGCGTCAGGATCATCTTGGCTTCAAGAGCAGACTTCGGACTGGTTCCGCTCAGGCTCAGCCTGGTCATAGACTCTCAAAACTGTCAGTGACGTGGTCCTCAAGTTGAATCTCAGAAGGAAAAGAAAACACAAGAATAACAAAGAGAGGAAGTGGCCCGGGCCAGCCCACCCCAGTGGGCCTCGTCCGGCCCCCCTCTCCATCCCCCGCCTGGCTCCCACGGAGGCCGCCAACCATGCAGGCCAGTTCCTGTACCTCAAGAGGACTTGGCTCAGGAACATGAGGAAGGTGGGAGACACGTGGGCAGGTTGGTCGCCACCAAACCTGTCCTTCTTGGAACCTTTTCCCTGGGAGTCAGGAAAAAAGACACAGGCTTTTAGCTGGAGTATTGGGAAGTGGTCTTCTGGGCTCAGGGGACTTGCTGCCCACACATGTGGCTGTTCAGGAAGTGGGCATGGGAGGTACATGGTGCCTCTTCAGCCTTTTTAGGCACTGGGTGGTGGGGACCAGCAGGTGGGTGGAGGCTCAGAGAAGGAAAGAACCACCTTGGGTCACACAGCAAAGCAGCCAAACCCAGCTCTTTGTGTACTCTTCCCCCCCAACTTCTCCAACTAGGTACCAGGATGCTGGGGTGGGGGGTGGGGGAGTCAGGTTTGCCTGAGAGGTTGGTCATTCTCTCACTGGACTGACTGGCATGATTCTGATCCCTACCCTACCTGAGACACTGGGGGCCACTGGCCAAGATGCCTACCCTCTCTGCCCAGACACACCACCCTAGGCCTGACATATGGAAGTCAGGCTAGGAATGAGCAGGGCAGCGATGGATTGCCATGTGTTCAATCTCTCCTATCCCCATGGGGAGAACAAGGTCAGCAGGTCAGGTCCGAGCCAGCTGGGGGCCCTGGGCTCAGCTCTCTGCTGTCCCACTAGAGGGAAAGACTCCCTCTTGCCCTCCCTGCCCCCACCCTGCCCAGCGCTGGCTGGGCTCCCAGCAGCCACCACAGCATCAATATTTCATCCACGTCAATAAGAGAGAGCGGCAGGGCGAGAGGCTGCAGCAGTACTCCGCCCGGTCCAGCCTGAAGCTCCGGGGAGCCTCCAGCCCCATCTTCACTCCCACCATGGACGTCTTTAAGAAGGGGTTCTCCATTGCCAAGGAGGGCGTGGTGGGTGCCGTGGAAAAGACCAAGCAGGGGGTGACAGAAGCGGCTGAGAAGACCAAGGAGGGAGTCATGTATGTGGGTGAGTGTGGCAGGGCGGGGCAGGGGGGAGGGCAGGAAGGCCAGGCGGCCAAAGAGGGTGAGCAGAATGTCAGCTCCCTGGCCCTGACTTCCCTCCTCAGCCCCAGGCAGCGATGTAGACAGAGGTGAGACCCTAGCTGTTGAAGTCCAGGTCCCCAGATCCTGGAATAACCAGAGCATTGGGCACATACCAGTGTCTGCTTGCCTCTGGCTTCCTCAGGGACTCCAGATCAGAGTGTCCCTGAGAGCCACTTGGGTCTCAGACACACCTGACCACCTGGCTGCTCATGCACAAAAGGCACTCACGAGCCTGCAGGGGTCCCCTGAGCCTCCAGACCCTGCAACTGTGAGGAGCCCGGTATTCGGGTAGACCACACCCTCTTCCATAGGAGCTGCTGTAGCCAGGCCAGGCCACAGGTTACTACCCTCACCAAAGTCCCTTGTCCGGATTCTACCCAAAGGGGGATGGAAAAGGAGGGGAGGACAAATCCATGGCTCAGCTCTGCATTGCTCTGCTGCCATGCCCCAGGCTCGGGCCATGCCCAGGCAGGGTCTGTATCCGTGGTCCACCAGGGTCCCTTCCCCCACCCCAAGCCTTGGGCTCCTTTGTCCCTTCATCCTGTCTGTCTCGTTCTTATCCGTCCCCGTCCTCCCAAACCAACAGGAAGTGGCTCTTTGAAGGGGTTGTTGTCCCCCGAGCTATCCGTCCCCCCAGCTGGTCCAGCTGCTCAGGGATAGATGTGCCCTGACACTTCCATTTCCTCCTCAGGCGCCAAGACCAAGGAGAACGTGGTGCAGAGTGTGACCTCAGGTAAGCAGCATGCCCCCTGTCCCCCGCAAACTGGCAGAGTCCTGGTGCTGAGACCCCTCCAAGTCTAGAATCCTCTTTACAGTGCATGCCTTTACTTCTTACATAGCCCCTGGCCACTGCAGCTGCCAAAGCAAGACAAGGGCGTGGCTCTGGGTCCCCTCGATCAATGGCAGAGCTCCCCTAGAGTCAGGAAGCAGGCAGGGGAGGGTCGTAAGGAGAGTCAGAACCCCTCCCCTGGAGACATCCATGCCTACATTCCTACTAAGGGCAGTGGGGAGTAGACTGGGGTGGGGGTGGGGGCTGGGGGCACAGCTTCCAGAGAACCAGAGTGTCCCCATACCTGATCCCCTCCATGGGCAGAGCCAGAGCCTGCCCTAGGGCACCCTCAGGTGGGGTTCATGAGCGAGGGCCCAGCACAGAGGAGCCATAGCTGTGGGGTAGAAAGAACTCTGCCTAACTCCTGCCAGCCAGGCACGGGGACCAACCAGAGTCCTCCCACAGTGGCTGAGAAGACCAAGGAGCAGGCCAATGTGGTCAGCGAGGCCGTGGTCACCAGTGTCAACACAGTGGCCACCAAGACCGTGGAGGAAGCAGAGAACATCGTGGTCACCACTGGGGTGGTGCGCAAGGTGAGGTGAGGGGCTCGTGTCTCCCCTGGGCTTTGGAGGCCAGCTGGCAGGAGGCGGCCCCCACACACGCGGGCACAGAGAGTCAGGCCCTGGGTTTGCTTTACAGTCAACACCCAGTAGAGGGGGTGTGTATGAGTGAGTGTGTGTGTGTGTGTATGCACACGTATACGTGCGCAGAGGGGTTATCCTTGGAGTGGAGAGTTCAGGGTCATTTTATAGACAAAGAAACTGAGACTCAAACCAAGTCTGCTCCATGGCTCTCAGTATAGAAGATGCCCCCATGTTTTATAAGTGAATGGTGGACCCCAGGCAGTGAACACCAGGCCAGAGCTGCCTAGTCATTACTGTCATCCCTGATCCAGCCTGGCTGCTGCCTTCTCCCGGAGCAGCAGGGAAGTAGTGCCCCCTGGTGGTGGAAAAATATCAAGGGCTTCAGCCCCACCCTCCACTGCGGTCTTTGTGTGAGCACGTGTGTGTGAGCATATACGTGTGCCTGTATGCATGCGTATCTGCAGTGTGTGTGTGTGTGTGTGTGTGTGTGTGTGTGTGTGTGTGTGAATGGTGCATGCATGTGTGTGGCTGTCAATAACAGCATTTATTGGACCAGACACTGATGGCTCACACCTGTGATCCTAGCTATTTAGGAGGCTGAGTTCTAAGGATTGTGGTTTGAAAACAGCCTGGATGTGGAAAGGAAGGCCCAGAGATTTGTCCATGTGTCCCCTGGCCTTGGCTAATCCATGTGGCTGTGGAGGTCCCTGCTGTGCTCAGAGACAGTGATGTTAGGTGGTATCAGAGAGTGGGGACTTGAGCCTAGAAGTGGGGTAAGAGCTATTTTCAGCCCCTATACCTGTCACAGATGGTATCTGAAGGTCCAGCATAACCAGCACTGTGAGGTCCCGCTCTCAGAGAGGGTGGGAACAAGGGTAGGGGACACCTGGAGAGTAGTCACTGGATGTCTGATTCTAAGACCAGCACAGAGTGTTCTTGTCATTGGAGCGAGCAGCTGCTCCCCCTCTACTCATTCCTAGCCCTGCCCCTTCCTAGTATGTGACTTTTGAGAAGCTATCTAATGTCTGTGGATCTCTATTTCTTATATATTTTTTCTTTATGTTGATCATGGAGCTTGAACTCAGGACCTGGGTACTGTTCCACAGCTTTTGTACTTAAGGCTAGTGCTCTACCATTTCGAGCCACAGCTCCACTTTGGTTTTCTGCTGGTTAATTGGAGATAAGAGTCTCACAGTTTTTCTTGCCTGGGCTGGCTTTGAACTACAATTCTCAGCCTCCTGAGTAGCTAGTATTACAGTTGTGAGCTACCAGTGACTGGCTTCCGTTTCTTTTTTTTTTTATTGGGTTGTGGGAGATGACAAACAAATGGCCCTAGGAAGCAGTTCTGCCTGACCTATAATGAGCACTTAGCAAATCACCACCTTCACCACCACCTCCACCATCATCACCCTGGCAGAACCCACTAGCTCCCCAGGAAGACTCCTCCCCACCTCCTACTAAAAGAGGACTAGGGCTGATGTCAAGTACCCCTTTGCTTGATGATCCTAGAGTAAGGCTGGCAAAAGCCCTGCCCCAAAAGAGACTTTTCTAGGGATCTCTCAAAAGCAATCCTCAGACCTTCTTCCCTCCCGCCAAGCCCGGGGGGTACATGCCCTGGCGGTACAGCGGTCGACCAGTTGTCTTTTGTGTGTTGTAATCATGACGATGGGGAGGAGGGTGGGGTTTTAGGAGGGAAGGGAAGGGGAAGGGAGGGAGAGTCGGTACTCTAGTTACCTGGCCATTTACACCATAGGATTCCTATGCTAATCTTGAGGTGCAGCAGGACTAACAAGATGGCTCACTTGCCCTACACCTAGAGAACCTGGCCCACCCTTTTATACATAATTCTACCAAAGGTTAAGGGCCCTGTAAGCTGGGTGCTGGTGGCTCACACCTGTAATCCTAACTACTCAGGAAGCTGAGATCTGAAGATCACGGTTTGAAGCTGGAGCAGAAAAGCCCCCATGGGACTTATCTCTAACCACTCAAAGACTAGAAGTAGTTCTGTGGCTTAAAGTGATAGAGTGCTAGTCTTCAGCAAAGGAGCTCAGGGACAGCACCCAGGCCCTGAGTTCAAGCCCTATGACCAACTCCTCTCCTCCAAAAGAAAAGAAACCACAGAGGATCCTGGAGCAAGCTGGACCTGATGCCAGCAAGTATTTCTACTATAAAGCCTGAGTCACTGAGTTTAATGCCTCTTCTCTCCAGCCTCAAGGTCAGGTGAAAAGTGATGACACAGCCCTGCACCTAGAATTACATTGGGGGCTGGTGATTCAGGGGCCTCTGCCCACCTCCTCTGCCATACCCACTGTCACCACACACACCCCAGGCTCCCATATCAAGAGACCCAAACAGACAGTGCTCATTGCTTGAGATCAGTGTGTTTGTGTGT